CTGGTCTGTGGGCATTGAAAATTTGTTTGGAAATGCAGTGGGCACTCACCCTGTGCATTGTTCCTGCTGGGTACTGCACTCCGGAGCTGTTCCCATTTGGCCATCTTGAATCCTCCCCAAAAGTAAAATTTTTAAATGTTAAAAACCATTGTGTCAACCCCTTAAAATATTAGATCAGTAAGAAGTCCATTTATGCCAGAAATGCAAGTGAGACTCATTGCATTAGGAAATTCATTAACACAATAAATTACATTAATTGAATTAATGTTCATGTTCATAGATGAAAAACAGATAATGCCAAAATTTTAAAGAAAATTACTTTAATTCAATTAGTATGGAATTGGTTGAAAATATTTCTTAAAAACTTAAAATAGATTCATATCAACGAAAAATTATAACATTATAGGATTAGACAGGGTCAACATTACTAGGACATCAAAGGTACTTTAACTTATAAGTTGATTTTATGGTTTCATAGTATTCCAAGGTACATATGTACCTTAGCAGGGACATGGATGCAGGTGGAGACTATTATTCTTAGCAAAGAAATGCAGAAACGGAAGACCAAATATGACCTGTTCTTACTTATAAGTGGGAACTAAATGATGATAACACATGGACACATAGAGGGACACAACACACTGGGGCCTTTCGAGGGGTGGAAGGTGGGAGGAGAGAGATGATTAGGAAAAATAGCTAATGGAAACTAGGCTTAATATCTGGATGATGAAATAATCTGTACAACACCCCCCCACACCAGCAGGCATTTACCTATGTAACAAACCTGCACATCCTGCATATGTACCCCTGCGATTAAAATAAAAATTAAAAATATAAAGAAAATTTTAAAAGTTGATTTTAACTCCAATATAGATACCCTCTGTGTTCTGGATAGAGAAACTTTATTGTAAAGGAGAGAAAATAAAATATCCATGAAAAGTCTGAAAATTAAAAAAGAGTGATTTCCCCTTTGAAATAGTGTACAGACTTGGAAATTAAAATTGGGTTGTGTTGTTTCTTCATTAGACTGAAAGGCCAATGGAATAAAATGTTCAAAAAAGGAATAAAACATATATTAAAATGTACTGTGCAATAAAAGCAGGAGTGTAGAAAGAAAAGGTGAGAGTTTGGTGTGTCTCATTGGGCACTGAAGCTCACAGACAGGCAGCAGTCTGTCCCTTACCATGTGTGCTTTCTGCAAGTCTGGTATTGCCATATGTGCAGGAAGCACATTTAACATTTGAGCAAGAGCATTTTGGGCTAATGTCTGATTCATGTGATTTTTTCTGCCTCAGTATTCATTGTAACCTGTTCTCATAGCCCACAGTAAATTTCCTGTTGAGCTGAGATGTTACTGCCATTAATAAAGCTCTATTACCTGCAATTGTTCCAGTTTCTCTGGGAACCCTGGGAACAGTCACATGTGATTGTGATAATTCTTTAGTTGGTCACTTGCCTGGTGGAATGACCAACTGAAGAATTATCTGGGGGACTCCTCTCCACACAGGGCCCACAGGGAATAAAAGCCTGTGAAGAGTTCTGGGATAGAACCCTGCATGGGGACACGGACATGGGTCACACTAAGGTACCGTGCTCTTAATCTATACCCCAAACTGATGCAGACAGAAAGTACCACATGCCTTCAGAAAAACAAACAAACAAAACATCTTTGGAAAGATGAATCATCTTTGGCTGTGAAAAATACTATCTTCTTCAGAGGATGTGCTAAAGTTAAAATGAACAGATGATGTATGCCTGGGATAAAAGTGGTTATTTGTTAATAGATACTGGTGAGGCTGCAGAGAAAAGGAAAATCCTTTTCGCTGTCACTGGGAATGTAAATTAGGTCAGCCACTGTGGAAATCAGTTTAAAGATTTCTCCAAAAATGTACAACAGAGCTACTAATTGACCCAGCAAACACATTACTGAGTATATACCCAAAAGAAAATATAACATTCTACCAAAAACACACATGTGAATCTGCACACCCAGCATCTCTATCTAACATAAAAGAGTTGAAATTATTTTTAAAATTGTTTGTGAAAAATTTTCCCCCATGGCAGGGATGAAGAAGAACATTCTTGATAAGGTCAAGAGGCTCACATCTGAAAGCAGCCCCAGAGGCAGAGCTGGGGAAAGAAAAAGAGTTAGTTACTTAAACACTGCTGCTGATTCTTGAATTTCGTATTTTCCCAGGATGTCTTTATCATTTTTTTTACCCTCTTGTCTATGTTCAGACAGATGCCCTCAAAGGTGACTTTGGCTCCAGAATGAGAAATTCATCACTGTCCTTTGGTCAAGGTAGAGGGAGTTATGTAATTTCAAAATCTGTCCATACCTAATGACAGAAATCAAAAAAAAGAACTGAACAAATGGAGAAGATACATTGTCTTCATAAATTAAAAAACTCAACATTGTCAGCATGTCAGTTCTTCTGAATGTATAGATTCAATGCAATTCTAACAAAAATGGAAGCAAGTTATTTTATGGATATAGAAAAACTAATTCTACAGTTTATATGGAGAAGAAAAAGACCTTGAATAGCTAACATAATACTGAAGGAGAACAAAATTGGAGGAAATACAGGCACTACTCAACTTCAAGACTTACTCTAAAGCTATGGTCATCAAAGTAGTGCCATGTTGATGAAAGAGTACATATAGACAGAATAACGAAATGAGAGTTGAGAAATAGACATACATCCATATATTTAATTAATCTTAGATGTAAAAATAAAGGAAATATGATTAAACAAAGATAGGGTTCTTCATTAAGTGGTGCTGGAACAACTGAATATCCACGTTAAAAAAAAAAAAAGTGAGTCAGATCTTACCCTCTCACCAAAATTAACTCAAAACAAATCACAGGCCTAAACGTCAAATTTAAAACTATAAAATTTCTGGTAAATAAAAGGAGAAAATTTAGACCCTCTTGGGTTTGATTATCTCTAGAAAACAAAACACCAAAGTTACAGCACATAAAAGAAATAATACAAGCTACACTAGATTAAAATGTAACATTTTGTTCTGTTAAAGCCACTGAAAGTGAAGACAAGCCACAGACTGAAAAAAAATATTTGCAGAAACATATTTGAATGACAAATTTTATCCAGAATATACCAATACAGCCAGTGCTCGACTTACAACCACGATTGGTTCAGACAGACCAGTCGTAACACGATTTGGTCGTAAGTTGAGTAGGCTATACGCACGTGGAGATGGTAGTGCTGCCAGAAGCTGGTCCGCAGTGTCGTACGCCCAGCTGGGAAACGTTTGTGCTGCCAGACGCGTAGCAGTCGTGGCTAGCGATTGTGGTCGTAAAGTCGAATGGTCGTAAGTTGCATAGGTCGTAAGTTGATCAACACCTGTAGTCTTAAAACGTAATAAGAAACAACCCAATTAAAAAGTGAACTAAAGACTGTAATGGGCATTTCACCAAATAAAATATAGAAATAATACAAAATAAGCATATGTAATGATGCTCTACATAATATGTCCTTAGGGAAATTCAGTAATGAGCTAACGCTGCACATCTAGTGGGATGACCAAAAGCAAGAACATGGTCACCTACTTTAATCACATAGTCCCTATCACATAATTAGTGGGCACTGTGGGTTTTAACTCTGCAAGCTTGGTGTGTAAAGAATTCCACATAGATAAGGATATAGTGACTAGAAGTATTTATTTATTTATTTATGAGACAGTCTCTGTTGCCCAGGCTTGGAGTGCAGGGGCACAAATAACGAAACAACTCAAATGCAGAAGATGGAAAACATCAAATGCTGTCGAGGATGTGCAGCAACAGGGCCTCTCATTCCTTGTTTGTGGCACAATCCCAGATCACTGTATCCACAAACTTCCAGGCCCAAGTGATCCTCCCTCAATCAATCTCTGGAGTAGCTGCGGCCGCAGGCATGCACCACCATGCCTGGCTGATTTGTTTTGTTTTGTAGAGATGAAGTCCCCCTTTGTTGTCTAAGCTGGTGTCAGGCTCCTGGGATCAAGTGATCCTCCTATGTTGGTATCCCAAAGTACTGGAAGTACAGGCATGAGGCACTGCACCCAGCCTGGAAGTCTTTTAATAGGATGATTTCAATGTAACTGTTTCCTCATCTGCTCTACTCAGCTAAGTCTCCCTCTCAGCCCAAGGGAGAGAACTTCAGCTCAGCCCCATCCAGGATGACTGCAGACTACTCAGCGCCACCGCCATTCTCCAGATGCAGGTCAAGGAGGAAGGAACCCTGAAGTCTGGCAGTGGGCACCCACAGCAACCTTGAAACCCTCCAAACGGCACCCACCATCCGTGCCCCTGTCTGAGCTGTAGCTGCTACCAGCATTGGACACACAGGCAAATATGGCCGAGGAACGCAAACCTCCCGCTTCCCCTCTGGGCCTACGCAACATGGACTGCGGTGAGACGCCGCTGCTGCGCTGCAGTCAGTCGGTCCGCCCCCTGTCTGCACCCGGAGCCCAGCTCTCTGCACTCGAGCCAAGGAAGAGCCTGGCCTAGGGTGGGAGGGTGTGCGCCACATGGCGACCCCCGGGCTGCAACCCCGACCCTGCCGGCGCCACCAACAGCGCGGATCCTTGGGCCAGAAGCCTCCATGGCGCCTAGGTCAGGGGGAGGGTCAGCGCAGGAGGGCGGGAACCGACGCTCAGCGCCACCCCGGAGGCTGCAGGGTGCCCAGCGCCGGGGCCCAGCTCCTGGATCGCGGGTCGAGGAGGGGGCAGGGGCGGCTCTGTGAAGCGCGCTGTGTGGCAGGGCGTCCCCCACGTTCCGCTCCAGGGAGCCTCACCAGCACCGCAGCGCCTCAGCGGCAGGCGCCACCTGCACGCGGTGCCCTTCGGAGCGGCCAGGGCGGTTTCCCGCCTCGCGCGTCTCCTCAGCCCGCGGCGCTGCGCATGCGCCGCTGTCTAACGTCTCCGCAACGAATTTCTCACAGGAGAGGCCTGTGTGTCCCAGGGCTTGGCCAGACCGAGAGTCCTGCTGCTGTGGGCCGGGTGCGGGGACTGCAGAAGGGCGAGGGCGAGCGGCTGGGGCTGGGGAAGGGCGAGCGGGAGGCCGGGCTCTCACCAGCGGGCGGCCGCAGCCATGGAGAGGCTCTCGGCAGCCGCTGTCCGGGGCGTGTTGGACCCGCCACGTCCGAGCCCCTTCAGTCAGCTGGTCTACACCAGCAACGACTCTTATGCGATCCACCATGGGGATCTCAGGAAGATCCACAAAGCTGCCTGGCAGGGCCAAGACCGGAAGCTGCAGAAGATGATGAAGAAGAAGAAGACAATGGACCTGAACATAAGAGACGTGAAGAAGAGGTACCAGGCCCTGCCCGAGCCCGCGCTGCAGGAGGAGGTGGCGGCTGTGGGAGGATCGCCCCTTCAGAGTGCGGGGCTGGGGGCCTGGGCACCAGGGGAGCAGCTGGAGGAGTGGGGGGCGGCGGTCCTGGGCCCTGGGGTCTGGGCCTTCGTCCTGGGCAGGGGTCCCCCAGGCCGGGGGTGAGGGCGCCCTGCAGGGCGGAGGGCCCAGGCCACCTTGAAATCAGCCCCAAACTTTAGCTGCTTTCCCTTCACTCCCACTTCCCATCACAGAGCTCTGTCTAGAGAATTTTAAAGTGATCTAACTCACAAAATTAAGTACACACAGTACAGGTTTTAAAAGATAATGTTAGATACTTTATGGAAGAGTGCAAAATGAAATAATTCCGATAATATATGAACTTCTTGGCAAAAAATTCTTTGGATAAAGTCCAATATCCATTTTGATATCAATAAATGTCTATGTAAAGATGTACTTTGCTGAGGGACCTTAGAAGGAAACTTTGAGTTGGGAAGATGATTTCTGTTTTTCTCAAGGTGTAAGCTTTTCATCACTTTTACACAAAACAAATAAAGTTAGCAATGTTTTGACATTTTTTTAATTGCACATGCTGTCTTTTACTATTGTGATGACATTTTAAAAACTTGTAATGGAGTAGAAAATCTTGCCCCTCTAGAAATGAAAATGTGCTATAAATTTGCACAAAATGGGCCGGGCGTGGTGGCTCATGCCTGTAATCCCAGCACTTTGGGTTGCTGAGGCAGGTGTATTATCTGAGGCCTGGCCCATATGGTGAAACCCTGCCTCTCCAAAACTAGAAAAATTAGACGGGCATGATGTCAGGTGCCTGTAACCCCAGACACTCTGGAGGCTGAAGAAGGAGAATCGTTTGAACCCGGAAAGCAGAGGCGGATGTTGCAGTGACAGAGATTCCGCCACTGCACTCCAGCCTGGGTGACAGATTGAAACACTCTCTCAAAAAAAAAAAAAAAAATCACAAATTGTTTGCTAACAGCTGAAAAGACAGCTACATGAATCCAATAGAACACACAATCCATAAACACCAAATGTATGAAATGACTGCCCTTTGGAGAAAACTAGATGTTTATGCCACAAAATAAGCTCCTGATGGAATATAAATTAAAAGGTGTTAATATACAAACTGAGAAAAGTACCAGAAGATAACATAAATGCTTATTTACACAGGTATCTTTTTATGTTGACAACTAAGAAGCTCAGAAGCAAGCACTCTGAAGGTTAATTTAGCAAAACAAAAATTAAATCACCCTGAATATGAGAAAAAATAAAAGGCAGCATACACGTAAAATATTTACTACACATGTATGCGCATGTGTGAATACATATTAGATTTAAAATTCTTCATTTTATAGAAAATTCACTCAACAAAAAACCCTCTGATTTAAAAGTGGGCATTAAATTAGAGATCTAAATTGCATATCTAAAAAAGTACTTTGCTTCTAATTTAAAATTAGGCAAATTACTTAAGATCTGCAGGCAACCCATGCACACAGGGGACAGTATTGTTTTCCTGGTTAGAGAAGGCATTTAAGTTAAAAGAGGAATCAATATTGTTTTCTATTCATAAAGTTTGTGACGATAAAGAGCAATGATATTTATACTGCTCCTTAAAGTTTAAGTTGCAGATGATGTTTCAAATAGATAATTTGATGGTAAGTACCATATTAAAAAATTATATATGCCCATTAGTGATCAATTCAATTATACTGAAATATTTTTAGAAAATAATGAAACATACAATTTCTTTTCTGAGCACGGCTTAAAATCTCAATGTATTAAGAAGAATTCATAGATTGGCTCTTATGAATACATTTCAGTGAATTTATAGCATGGGATAATATGTGAACACTGAAGTAGAAAAACATACACAAATATGTTGATATTTAAAAATGTATTTTGGTGTTCAAATGAGAGTAAAGCTCAGTTTGATTATACATACACACAGACTATATGTATTACATGTATGTATATTGTGTTATCTGAAATTATGTGCAAAATATAAAATTTGTTATTGAGGGCATTTGTTTTAATATAAAATGTAATTTCTTTGTATTATCTTTGATTTCTGCGTTGAGAAAACAATCATAATTGTACCATTTTACTTAAAATGTTGTCTTTGTTAAGTAGTAGTAATAATTATAATATCTACCAATTACTGAACTGTTGCATGTGCTAGGAACTCTTTGAAATACTTTGCATAGATTCTCATTGAGGCATTATCGTGATGTCCCGTGAGATAACTGCTGTATTCGTTCTCACTTTATTGATGAGAAGATTGAGGCACAGAAAGGCTAAGTAATAGCTAGTAAGTGAAAGACCTTAAAGTAATATTCAATCCCAAGTTGGACTGAATCCAAAGGCCAAGTTCCTTCTATTCAAATAGGCCACTCTTGGATTAATGTATTGAGTTATAAGATCGAATGAACATTGTACTTTCTGCAGCAGAAAATTAAATATTTGTTTTGAAGGCAGAGAAAGAGCATGGTATTTAATGTTTACAATTACATAAATCACTGTATGTTTTGAGATAGTGGACTAAAATTTCTTAAAAGGTCCTCTCACTCTCTTAGGACTGCTCTCCACTTGGCCTGTGCCTACGGCCATGAGAAAGTAGTAACATTACTGGTAGACATGAAGTGCTTGCTTGACATCTGTGACGGCGAAAACAGGACACCTCTGATGAAGGTAAATAGTAGCCAGTGCTTTCAGCAGGAGATGGATTTGGTTTAAATACATAGAACGAAAATTGACTTATCTCATTGAAATACAGCTAGTTTGTGAAACCGGAGAAATATTTATTTTGATTTCCTATAATTTAAAATTTTCTTCTTGCTTTAATACTAACAGGCTCTACAATGCCGGAGGGAAGCTTGTGCAAACATTCTGATAGATTCTGGTGCTGATCCAACTATCGTAGATGTGTATGGCAACACGGCTCTCCACTATGCAGTTTACAGTGAGAGTTTGTCAATGGTGGCAAAACTGCTGTCCCATGGTGCAGACATTGAAGTGAAAAACAAGGTAGACATTAACCAATGATATTTTCAAAATATTTGAAATCCATTTGTTTTAACATTAACATATGTAAGTGCTTTTATATTTAAAGGTTGAAACTGCTTGAATGAAAATAGTTTGAAAGAATTGTCTATGTATTCTTTGAGTTTATATTATGAATGTGGTGACTTTAAAAAAATAAAAAATAAAAAAAATAAGAATTGTCTAAGATTTTACTTTAAACATTAATATTTTTACAAGAACTATTAGAGAGTGTGGCTTTTCTGTGCACTTATTATAAACGTTTGAATTCATTAAAGGTAAAACTTTTTAGAGTATTCTTCCCCATCCAAGTTGTTTTTTCTTTCCAATTAGTGTAAAACTACAGGAAAGCAAAATTTGACTGGATAAATTGAGTCAACATGTAAAATTTAGGAGACATGCAGAAATCTGAATTTCCTCTTAAAGGTTTGAATCTGGTGTCTCTTGTGCCCATATGACTGTTTGGTATGCTATGAAGAGGTTCTAGCTTTACACAAAGCATATGTTTTCCAGTTTGCTACTGTGCCCACCTAGGTACATGATGTACTCAAGTTACCTCTTCTGCCTCTATCAATATTTCAGGTATCAATTCCTCTCTCATAATATATTTTGTTAAAGATTTCAAGGTATTCAAGACAGTTGATAGGTGTTTGTAATATATAGTTTATATTCTACGTTACTTCATTAATAATGCTGTTGACTTCTAGAATTTAGATTTCTAAACAAAGATTTTTCTTTATATAAACCATAAACCATAAACAATTATCTTTAACTTGAATGCCTTTAAGCCTTTTTAGATCAATCATGTTTATATTTGCATAGGTTATGCATTTTGCAGAAAATATTATATCTTTCTTCTCAGAATTGTCCCTTAAAACTCAAGTGATTCAGTGGCTTCTATTATGCTAATTCATATGGATGAGTTAGAACTTTCATTAATGAGCCATTTTATTCATATTTCTGATATTTTGCCAAAAAATAAGTAGCAATTATAATACAAGCCAGAATAAAAATGGATTATTGCATTTAAGAAGTAGATATGCATTAGGATCCTAGGATTATCATTAGAATTGAGAACAAACTTTTATACTGAATTTCTAATAGCTGAGATAAAATTCTATTGTCTTGTAATACAAGAAATTCCATGAACCATTTAATAATAAGCAATCAAAATTCATTTGAAGCCGATCTCTTTTAATTAGAGCCCACTTCCTTAGTGACTCATTTAGAGCAGGAGTGCCTGACATTGGCATCTGGGATCTTGGGATCATTGATCAAAGAGAATCAAGTGAGTTTGTATCACCCAGAGGAGACCTCCATTTCTCTTGGGAAGCTTTCAAAACTGGATTCTTGAAATTCTAATTTGTCAAATGTTAATGTTTGCCAAAAATATATATATTGTCAAATAAGGGGTAGGCAAATTTCAAGTCATTTCTTGAATAATGGATATTTAATTCACAGTTTTATGATATTTCTTGAACTTAGATAATGTTGAAATCTGTTGAGGTACAGTGCTTCTGGCAAGCTAATTATTCCTTGGAATACAGTTTAAGAAACACTGCTCTGCAAGTGATAATTTAGATTACTAATTTAATTTTAAAAAACCAAAGTCTTTACTACTATGTCTTAGTGTTTAAGGCTATAGAGATAAAAGATACAGCCCCACACCCTCAAGAAACTCTTGGTTTAAATGGGAGAAAATCATTACAATATAATGTTTTTTGAGATATTCAGAGTTAATGTGGTGATGCAGAGGCTGAATGTTTCCAAGGGAAGGGGCAGTGGATGGGAAAGCACAGAAAAGGGAGAAGTAGGAACTGCTATTGATTTATTTCCTATTTTATGTGTTTAAGCTCATAGGATATTATATAAGGTATTCAGTTCAGCTGAGAAATATGCAATTTCATGAATTATAAATTGTTTTTACTGTTTTGCAGGCTGGCCTCACACCACTTTTACTGGCCATAACAAAAAGAAGTGAGCAAATTGTGGAATTTTTACTGACAAAAAATGCAAATGCAAATGCAGTTAATAACGTTACATGGTATAGTAGTTCTTCTTTTTTTTTAATTAAAAACAGTTGAGTAGTGTTCTAGAGTAATTACTCTCAAGTCAGAAATATTACATTGATAATATTTACTTAAAATTATTATAGTGAAAAATATCAACACAAAGTATCAGGAAGAAAAGTAATTATTTGGACTGACCAAAATAAGGAACAGCATATAGTAGGATTTATCTTCTCTTATTATATTGGCTGATTCTTATTTGTAATCTGATGTTTTTGGTTGCATTATCTTCTATTAGCTAAAGTGGTTCAGTATTAGTTTTAAAAAGTATGAACTTTTCTGGTTTTTAATTTAACATTGAATGATTAACACTTTCATAATATTTTTCCAACTTCTGTTTTTATACACTTTTTTAAAAAATGCAATATCTGTTGGGCATGGTAGCTCTTACCTGTTATCCCAGCAGTTTGGGAGGCCAAGGTGGGTAGATCATTTGAAGCCAGGAGTTTGAGGCCAGCCTAGCCAACACGGTGAATTCCCATCTCTACGAAAAATACAAAAGTCAGCTGGACATGGTGGCACATGCTTGTAGTCCCACCTACTCGGGAGGTTGAGGCAGGAGAATAGCTTAAACCCAGGAGGCAGAGGTTGCAGTGAGCTGAGATTGTACCGTTGCATTCCAGCCTGGGTAACAGAGCAAGACTCTGTCTCAAAAAAAAAGAAAAGCAATATCAATCAAAAGTAGGAGTTTAAAATCATTTTGTCTTTAGGATGACTGTTTGCTTTAAGTTGTTTTCTTTGAAGAATGTTAATGTTAGGTTATCCCTACATGGCTATTCATTGGTATCACCAGATACTGTGAATTTATGATTATTCCCCTTTTTTATTCATAGTGTATTTTTATTTTTAATTTGTATGGGTACAGGGAAAAATACAGGTATTTTAAATTTGTATGGGTACAATTAAACAATTTGTTTAATTAAACAATTTGTTTAATTGGATTAACATTTTAGTTAATGAAGATAATCCACAGGCGAGTGATGAAGACAAAAGGGATAGACTTTTGATTCACACAAGACTAGGTTTAATTTCCTCACTTGAAAGGTGTGAACTTGCAAACATTACTTAATACCAAGTATGATTTTCTATATGAAAAGGAGAACATGTCCTTTAAGGACCATTGTGTAGAAATAACATTATGAATATCAACATCATTTAACTCACTGTCTCATACATTCTTATCAGCATCATTAACTGAACATATTATGACTACTACTGATATCATTATCCCTAATACTGTTTTAAGCCTTCAGATTGCTTTCAGTTGTCTGACTTCTAGCTGACTTTAAAGTACAAAATATTATATCAGACTAAGGAAGAATTAGATAATTCTTCACTTAAATCTGTGCCTCTTTTAGATTACTGAACAGACCTTTTTTTTTGCCCCTCAAAGCACTTTATGTTAGCCACTTCTAGTATGCCATATCCCAGTGGGACACGAATCTTTTTGCCCCTTCCTTTTAGCCTTGGTGGTGATTTACTAGGGTGAACACTTGAGCACTCACGATACTTATGTTTGTTAGTATTACGTAAATGGTTAATTCTACACTGACAGACAAATATTAAAACGGTTCTGTTCCTAATAATGAAGTTATTTCTTTGTTATTTTAGCACAGCCCTCATGCTTGCAGTATGTCATGGGTCATCAGAGATAGTCGGCAGGTTTCTTCAGCAAAATGTTGACATCTATGCTGAAGATATGCTTGGAATGACTGCAGAACGTTACGCTGTCGCTTGTGGATTTGATAAGTAAGTGTTTACATTTAAAGGCTAGGTGAAATTTCATAGTTTGTTTGAGATAATTTTTGAAAGACAGTGAGTTAGTTCATTCATAAAGAAAGTAGGCAAAAAGCTAGACTAGTTAGAAGGAGTAATGGGGCCCGGATTCTTTCTTTTAGGATTTTCAACAACTCTGTCCCTAGGGATCCTATTGCTGTCTATTTGATTTGAAGTATAATGCCTGTGTGTGGGATAAACATAGTGTCACAATTTTGATTTTTCTAATTAGTTATTTGGGTCTTGAAATGTCCACTTTAGCAGAAAACCTGAGAGTGTCACCTGGGGTCTGTCTTTCATACCTTCACCCTTGAATTTTTAAAAAGAATTTAAGGGGTTCTCTAAATCCAAGAAAAACACTCCTTTTGTACAAGTCAGAAGGCCTAGGGGAAATTGCCATTCTCTTCATTTTGTTGTTTCCATTGATCGTGTTGCTGCATTGTTGCCATTGAATCATCACCTGCAGTCTGGTAATGATTGATCTTGGTGACCAGGATGCCTTTACTAATGATCCCTCAGTCTTCATGGTGATCCATATTTGGACTTCAAAGTTATTACAGTCTTTAAAAGCTTATTACATACATTTTCTCAGCCATTGTTTCCAAAGCGCCAGCACGCTGCTCTGGCAGCTAGGACCTTTAGCTTTAGCCACACACATAGTGAGCAAATTGACCCTTCTTCTCATACTCACAAGCTGATGTGAAACCCACATCTTAGTCTTGACTTAGCCTAGACCTTCATGGTAAGTAATCCTTTGAATGGCTTTACTTCTATTTTCTCTAGTAAATATTAGTTGTGATAGTTAGAAACTGTAAGTCAGGTTGAAATAATGCTATAGGAAGAAATTAGAGACCCATTTAGTCTTTGTTACCAGATCTATATCCCTGGCCCTTTAGATCCTGTGTAGCACCATTTTGTAGATAGTGGAGGAAGGTCTCATCTTGTTCTGGAAGATTCCATGTCATCTTTCCCCAGTTGTAGTGGGTTCCAACTTGTGGTTGTCCCCTCAAGTGATCCTTTTTTCCTAAAAGTAAAAATCTCCCATGCTACGTGTATCTCTACCTCGAGTTTTAAAACTATTTTTAAAATTCTGCATTACCATGAAGCTATTCAATAGATTTCACTAAATCTCAAGTAACTTAGTTAGATTTAACAGAGCGGAGCCTCATCTGATTACTCTTCATGTACAAAAGCAGGCATTTGTGCTGGCTTCAATGGTACACAAACCAAAACTGAAACAACATCAAGAAAATCAGCATGATCCCTGCACAAGGATGACACACAAATCTGTGCAGTGTTGCATATTTCTTACAGTCCCCAAAAGGACATTTGACTACTTTCTAACTAGCTCCAAGAAAATGATGTGAGTCAAAGCAAAATGGGTAACACCCAGTACTGCAATGGTGATTTTCACACAAAAAGTATTTATGTAAGGTGATCTATGAAATGAGATGGTGGTGAGTAACACATAGGATCTTGTGTGCAATATGTTGTTACTAAGCATCTTGGAAATGAGAAAATACCAACTTTCATCTTCTTTGCAGAACTTACAAAACATAAAGGTAGGGTTTTGTCTTCCATGGCAGCTGGAAATGAACACATGACTAACAAAGATTTGTTGTTTCAGAGTTTAAGGAGGTAGATAAAGGGTAATAGTAGTCCAAGCCAGATGCTGACATCTATTAGTTTTCTCCCTTTAGTGTGATTGATGAGCTTAGTAATAGAGGATAATCAGGTTATCTACTTTAATGAATTAATATATTTATAAATAAATTTCCTTACAAATTTTAAAATAGCTTAGATGCCCTGAATTACAAGCCACAAAGAATAGAACATCTAATAACCAAAAGTATGAATTAATAACGGAAAACTGCAACATTTGAACATTGTAACCTATGAAGAAACACTTTTTTAATAATTTGTTTATTTTTTAGGGAGATAGTGTCTCCCTATGTTGCCCAGGCTCATCTTGAACTTCTGGGCTCAAGCAATCTTCCTCTTACAGTATCCCAAAGTGCTTGCATAAGGCATGAGCCACTGCACCAGGCCAATACATTGGGTTTTATTGAGAATTTAATAATAGTTTTAGCAATATGTTCAAGAACAAATTATTTCATTGCTTCGCCATTTCTTTGAGCATTTAAAACTGTTATCTTGTTAAATCTTTATAATAACCTAGTGAAATAAAGCTCTAAAATCCTTATTTTTAGACCACCTTGAGCCTAAGAGAAGCAAATTATTAAAAAAAAAATACCTGTTTGTTACTGTGCTAGGACTTATTCTGAGTTAAGGGCATTTTTTATTATGCCAAGGTAACTGTAGTTAATTTACTGAGTTATACTGCCCTCAATTCATGAGCATTTCATCTTACTTTCTTCTTTAAGCTTTCTTCTCTATGAAGCGTAATAAGTTCATAGAGGTTACAAACTCTAGGTCTATGGAATAAATAATATTGTGATGTTAGCTTTGATATTGTCTGAAATATTCTAAGAACTTAATAAACTTGGCAAATGTTTTTTTATATTACTGTTAAAATAATAATTTTATTTATTTCATTTTTATACATAGCATTCATCAACAACTTTTGGAATATATGCAAAAGATATCTAAAAATCCTCAAAATAGCAATCCAGGTAAGATTCCTGATAAAAGTACTCTTGGTGGGGGCATGATAAGATTATGAAAGTGTTGATCACAAAAGAGAAATTTAAAAAGCAATGTGTAAATAGCATGTGTTTACACATATATGTATGTGTATGTATATACATATAGCTTTGATTTTAGTTTATAATTCATTAGTTAAGAATATAGTTGTAGGTAGTTTTTAATCTCAAAAAATATTATCTGAAAAAATATTTGTTTAATTATGGTCCCTAAAATCCTATATAATATTTTTTCATAAATAAGTAAAACAATTTTTAGTTTTATATATTGAACCTGTCCTCAATTGTCAAAACAATTTAAGTTTGTTATAAAATGTATAAAACTTAGTGTGATTGATGAGCTCAAGAATAGGGGATAATCTGGTTATCCAATTTAATGAATTAATATATTTATAAATAAGTTTTATTACAAATTAGAAAATAGTTTATATGCCCTGAATTATAAGCCACAAAAAATAGAACATCTAATAACAAAAAGTAGGAATTAATAACAGAAAACTGTAACATTTGAATATTATAACCTATGAAGAAACACAGAGTAGTTATTTATTTATTTATTTACTGCAGAGACAGGGTCTCCTTATGTTGCCCAGGCTGGTCTTGAACTTCTGGAAAACTTTTGGGCTCATTTAATTTTTATAATAAATGGTTTGTATTTAGTAAACGAGAATTAATTACAGCTGAGTCTTGAGCAACATGAAAGTTAGGGCACTGATCCCCCACTCAGCTGAAAATTTGCTTTATATGAAAATCTATTTTTTTTGACTTCTCCAAAACTCTACTAATAGTGTACTATTGATCTGGAGCCTTACTGAAAGCATAAACAGTCAATTAACACACAGTTTCTATTTTATATGTACTGTATTCTTACAATAAAGTGAGCTGGAGAAAATGCTACCTAAATGTGACACAATGCGTTGTACAATATGAACTGTATGAGGACATCTTTATTATGTATTTATCAAAGGGCTGCTCTAAGTCATGTTTTGCAAGTTACAGGAGACAATGATGGAATATACCTAGTCCGGGTCTTTAAGGTGCTCAGAATACTGTAGAGCTGTCCCTATTGAATTTGTGCATTTTTTCCAACAGAATTTCCAAAAAAAAGTTTTTATCCATTTATCCATTTGTCCACGTAACAAATAACTGTCAAGTATCCTTAAGGTACTAAACATCTTTCTTGCTATTATCATTGTCACTTTTTATTATTTACTGCTTTACTAAGGTACTAAGCATTTTTCTTTTTATCGTCTTTTTATTATTATTACTTACTACGTTATTTAGTGCTTAGTCTGTGCCAGAATCCCTTCGTGAGCTTATAATGATCACTTATTATAAGCTATGTAGTCATAGCTTATAATTATCACTTATTATGTTGTTACCATATTCAGCATGTGTCAGACATTTTATATCCAAGGTGAAATATTAAAGCTTTAAAAAGCTTGGTAGTGTCAGCTGGGTGTGGTGGCTCACACCTGTAATCTCAGCACTTTGGGAGGCTAAGGCAGATGGATCACGATGTCAGGAGATCAAGACCATCTCAGCTTACACAGTTGAAACCCTGTCTCTACTAAACATATGAAAAATTAGCCAGGCTTGGTGGCATACACCTATTTGGGAGGCTGAGGCAGGAGAATCGCTTGAACCTCAGTGGTGGAAGTTGCAGTGAAGTGGAGGTTGCAGTGAGCAGAGATAGCATCACTGCATTACAGCCTGGGCAACAGAATGAGACTCCGTCTTAAACCACCCCCCCAAAAAAAAAACAAAACAATAACAAATGGGTAGAATCCAGCCAGTAGCTCACTCCTATAATTCTAGCACTTTGGGAGGTCAAGGTGGACAGACTGCTTGTGCTCAGGAGTTTGAGACCAGCCTGACTAACATGGTGAAACCCCATCCATACTACATACAAAAAATTAGCCAGGCATGGTGGTGCATGCCTGTAATCCCAGCTACTTGGGAGTCTGAGGTAGGAGAATCATTTGAACCCAGGAGATGGAGGTTGCAAGTGATGTGAGATGGCACCACTACACTCTAGCCTGGGTGACAGAGCAAGACTCCATCTCAAAAAATTTTTAAAAATCTAAAAAAAAGGAGAAAAGTAAAGTTTGATAGTATTTAAGGAAAGCGTACAAAATGAGAAGTTTTCCGTGTAAGGAATCAGAAGGATGATATTTAGCAGAAGGAAAATGTAACCTGATTGTGTGTTTGACAGAAGGAACACCTGACAAGGCTGCACCCTTGGCAGAGAAAACGCCTGATGAGGCTACACCCGTGATGGAGAGAATGCCTGAGGAGGCTGAACGTTTGGTGGAGGGAAGGCCTCATGAGACTGGATGCTC